TTTTTGGCAGAACCAGGGATTGAACTCAGACCCTTGCACTTGCCAGGGAAGCGCTTATTCCACTGAGCCATCTCCCCGGCCCCATTTTATGCTTTTTGATTTGGTAAATCTGACGCTAGAAATCTTTTTAAAGGGATAATTCTAAATAAGAAAGAAATATACACTGTCATATTCCTTGCTATATTATTTAGAAAAACTAAAATCCTTTTGCCAAGTTTCCTTTTTTTTTTTGGTATTTCAGGGAAGGGCCTACAGGGTATTCAGGGTCTTACTACTAGATTGGACTTGTAGCGATCCGTCTGTTTATACCTTCTCAAGAGCTGGTATTATAGGTGCATGCCACCACCCCCAGTCTCAACTGCCAACTCAGCGTGCCCCAGGGGCGGGCCTGGCACTGCAGGCCTGGGGATCAAACCCCTGGCCCCTGTGCCTGCATGCAGGCACTTCAATCCACTGAGCTATGTGGCTGGCCCAAGTTTTCAATCTTTAAGTCTAACACCAGAGAACAGTTATGTGATAATGTAATAAAAAAATAATAAGACGTTATAAAACTGAAAAAAAGGGGCAGAATACATTATTTTACAGACAGGAACACAATGATGATAAAAGGATTAAAAAGTGGCTCCACCAGGGCCAGCAATATAGCTCAGTAATTTAAGTGCCTGCTTAGGCAAGCGCAGGAACTGGGGTTTGATCCTCAGTACCACGTGCTATGCAGGCACCCCTGGGGTGCGCTGAGCTGAAACGGAGTCTGGGTGTGGTAGCACACACTTGTAATCCCAGCTGCTGGGGAGGCTGAAAACAGGAGGATCACTAAGAGTCCAAACTGCATAGTGACACCCTGTACCAAAAAAAAAAAAAAAAAAAAAAAAGTGGCTCTATATATGCAAAGGGGAAAAAACATAAATATTACAGTGGCTGGGTTAAGATACTGGCTTTGTGCTACGTAATTCATTATTTGTGTCTTGGTTTTAAAAAAAAAAATTTAAAGCAATCTATTTATTTGGCACAAGGTCTCGATACACAGCTCGAACTCATAGTGATCCTCCTGCTTTCAGCCTCCCTAACACTGGTATTATAGGCGTGCGCCACCATGCCCGATTTTGGTGGCCAACACAGCTGAGGCTGGCACAGCATGCGGTACTGGGAATTGAACCCAGGTCTTTGTGCTTGCAGGCACTTAGACTGCTGAGCTATCTCCCCAGCCCCTGTATCTTGGTTTGAAATTATTTTTCATGCTTAGTTTCATAATGGGAAAATTAAAACATATGATTTTAATAGCAATATTAACTGAAAAATGAAAAATACACAGAGTAACTCACTGCAGAATCAGTTGGCAGGTCAGTATCCCATTTTCGTCCTTTGAAGTCTCCACCTCTGTTCCATCGAAATGAGCTCATGCAGCCACCCTGAGAAAGTTCTGGGCAACAAAAGTAAAATTTTAAAAAGCTAAAGAACTATAAAAGAAAAGAATAAGAAATACGAATAAAGGAAAGCACATCATTACAAAGAAAGAATCAGATAAATCCAAAATGTAGACAAATCTATCATCATGGATTTTTAAAAATTCAATGAACTGGGAAATCTGAGTAGGAATTATCCATTCAATACTATTATAGAGGGGCCAGGAAGATAGCTCAGTAGATTAAGAGTTGCATGGCAAGCACAGGGTCCTGAGTTCAGTCCCTGGTATCGAAAAAAAAAAAAACACCTCATTTCAATTTAGGGGAGATAGCTAAGCATCATAAGTGCCTGCCTGGAAAGCACAAGATCCAGAGTTTGATTCCCCAGTACCGAAAAATAAAATATATACAAATACTATAGAACTGCTAAGCTTTAAGGGATGGTAACTGCTTACAGTAATATAAATGCATGTTCCTCCCTTTCAGACAAATGCATACTGAAAAGTAATGATGTTTCCAAAGCACTTCCAAATACTACAGCAAAAAGGCATAGGCGGGACTAGGGAGATGGCTCAGTGGAATAAGCGCTTCCCTGGCAAGTACAAGTGCCTGAGTTCAATCCCTGGTTCCACCAAAAAAAAAAAAAAAAAAGGCATAGGCACACACAGGGACAGAATCAAATGTGGTCAATGTTTTTAACTGTTCAATCTAGGTGGTATGGTGCTCACTGTGTTATTTTAATACGTTTTTGTATATCCGTTACATTTTTTAAATTGTGGCAGGGGAGATGGCTCAGTGGAATAAGTGCTTGCCTGGCAAGCGCAAAAGCCTGAGTTCAATTCCCGGTTCTGCCAAAAAAAAAAATTAAAATTGTGTGTGTGGGCTGGGGAGACAGCTCAGTGGACTAAGTTCCTGCTTAGGCAAGCACAGGAACTGGGGTTCGATCCCCAGTACCACGTGCCACATTGGCCCCATACGTGGAGTCCCAGCATGGTGGCGCATGCCTGTAATCCTAGCACTGGGGAGGCTGAAAACAGAAGGATCACTACGAGTCTGAGCTCCCTAGTGAGACCCTGTACCAAACACATAAATTAAACAAAAACAAAAAAAATTGTGTGTGTGTATAAGACAAACCTTTTTTTGATGACAAAGCCTTGCTATCAGGCAATCCTGCCAAAACATCTGAACCCATGCTTACAGGAAATAAAAAAGACAGAACCATGTATAAAACCACACAGTGGATATACTCAGCAAAATCCAGACCATAGGAAACTATGGGACAAACAATCCAATTTCTCTGATAAATACACTGCAAATGTAGGGGCAGAAGGGTCCAGGAAACCAATCCTTAAACTTAAATATATCATTTACTTACTTAAATCTCAACTTAAGCAATACCAAAAACAGTTTATGAGAAAGTTGGATGTTTGAATACAAACTGGATACTTCATGAAACAAAGCATTTAAAATATTAGGTGTAAATGGGGCATGGAGCAGAGCCGGGGAGATGGTTCAGTAGAATAAGTGCTTGCCTGGCAAGTGCAAGGGCCTGAGTTCAATCCCCTGGTTCCGCCAAATAAATAAATAAATAATAAATAAATAAATAAATAAATAGGGCATAGTAGTGTATACTTAGAATCCCAGCTACTTGAGGAGGCTGAAGCAGGAGAATCACATGTGAAAGATCAACATGGGCAATTTGGCAAGACCTTCTCTCAAAAAAAGAAGAAAAAAAGAGGATGATGTTTGTACCTTTAGCACTTCCTAGGATCAATACCCAGTACTGTGGGTTGAGGTGGGGGAATATGTGAAGCTTTATGGTAGGGTTTTGAGTCAGGATCTATGTGGTGCAGGCTGGCCTTGAACTTGCTTATGTAGCTCAGGCTGGCCTTGAACTCATGGCTATCCCTCCTGTCTCAGCCTCTGAGAATGCTTGGATTACAGGCATGTGTCACCACATCTGGCCCACAGTTATACTTTGAAAGTTTTCAAAAAAGCTTCTATTTCTGGCGCCGAAGCTCTGGACCTTTCCAAAGCCAGGCTCCGGGGGTAGAGAAAGTCCATGCTTCTGAGAAGCCGAGCTGGGTAAGCCCTGTTCCCAGAGGCAGTTGCTGCTGACCCTATAAGTCAAAGGAAGAAATAGCTGGCTAAGCTCAACATTGGTACTGGTGGCCACCATGTCCTTGAAGATCCAGACAAGCAATGTAACCAACAAGAATGATCCCAAATCCATCAATTCTCGAGTCTTCATTGGAAACCTAAACACAGCTGTGGTGAAGAAATCAGATGTGGAGACCATCTTTTCCAAATATGGCCGTGTGGCCGGCTGTTCTGTGCACAAAGGATATGCCTTTGTTCAGTACTCT